TTGTCATTGTTTCAATAAAATATGACTCGAAGAAGAACCTTGAGAAAGGCTCTTACATCATTTTGCAAATCTATGTATTTTTTTTCTTGAAACATAGAACTATTATTTCTATAGAATTATAATAAACATTCCTTTAGGAAAACGATTATAAAGAGATTTTATTGGAAATACTGCTCCTCAATAGTAAAAGAGTACTCGTATTTAGTTATTTTAGCGCTTAGTGTATTTCACTCAAGAGCAAAGCAGGTGTGATATTCGAATTCGACATCAAGAATCGAGTTGAATGATATGCGTTTCAAAGAAAAATACTTTTCATCAAACACTCATCTGTACTCCTTTGCAGTCCTCTTTTTAATTGATTGCGTTCTTGGTCCACTAAGGATGGAATTTCTCTCGAGCATGTTTTTATTTGACACAATTGTCATCCAACTCAGGTTCTTGATGATTAATTTGAATATCAAATGCGTTTTTTTTCATGAATGAAATTATGATGATCGAAACCGCTAAATACGAGTATGCTTTTGTCACTGAAATTGAAAGTTTTAGTTCTTCTTAATAATGGAGTAGTATTTTCAAAAAGTGTCTTCATAAGTCTTTTGCTCATACAGATGCTCCCCTTATAGTTTTCTAGAAGTGTTAGTTTTATGTGTCAAAAAAAAAAACGTAAATAGATTAGGTAAATGACATATTATCCTTTTTTCAAGGTTCCACTTTGGATCAAATTTTTTTATCACATTTTATTTGAACAATGGTAAGTATTGTTTTTCATAGCAAATTTTACACGATCAATAAGAAACAAAGCAGTTTGAAGAGCTAAAAGTAATAATGAGTAAAAAATTTGGTCTAATTGTCAAGTTCGTTCGATTTTATTGAAAAAATGGGTATGTCATTATTCGAAATGTTTTTCTATCAAGATTATTTTTTAGAATATGTAAGACATCCTCTGCTGAACCATGTACAAAAAATATCTTGCCATGATTTTGAATTTCCGACACGTTATTCTTTTGACATCGTGTAAAATATAATATGTTGTTTTTTATACCGATAATCATTTATTTCTAGTCAGTACTTCGAAAAATTTATCTGGAACTTGATTGGTGTACGAAAAATGCTTATTCACAAGATTTAACTGATAATATTGGACGATGTGTCTTAAAAGCAGCAAAATTACCATGTGTTAATACAGCTAGTGTAAATTTTCTTGTTTTTCTTTTTTATTAGATTTAAGTTATGAAACAAAACTAAAAAGAAAATAATTTTAATTTTTAGAATTATCAGTTCAATGCTTATGTTAATTATCGTTTTGAATTCGATGGAGATATTGATAGATTATCTAAAACTGAAAATTTTAATCAAACGCTAACTGTTCATCCGATAAATGATCTTGCAACAATGCTTAAACTTCAAAAGTATAGTTGAATTTTGATTTATTTGAATTTGAAAAAAAAATTGAAAGTTATACATTACAGATATTTTAATCAAGTTGAAATCAATGAAATGACACAGAGTATAAAAAAGTATGAAGAAACAATTGAACGTTTATCTTGTTATGCATCTGAAGGTTGTGGAAATATTCCATGGCCAGTTGGAGTACCACCACCATTTAAACCACCATCACGTTTTGATGTTCTTCGTTGGGATTATTTCACTGAAACACATATTTATTTAAAGACTGATAATGATGTTATGGATTTATTGAAAGGTATACTTTATAGAAATTTGAAATAATATCTATTCTATAGATTTATTTATTATTTGTGTTTTTCGTTTATACAGATGATGATTATGAAGATATACATGAAGTTATAGATTATTCTGTAGAACAATTACAAAAAAAATATGGAACTGAGTAAATTAAAATAGTAGGAGTTTAACAAAAATATTTATTTGTTTTTTTTTGTTTACGAAGATTAAAATTTAAGAAATTACTCAATGGTTATCGTCAATTTGATCCAACACGAGGTACACATTATATTGTTGATATATTACTGATTGATGATAATAAAAAAGAATATATTAAACGTGCTGAATTAATGAGACCATTAGGTAAGTTATCTTATTGAAAAGATTTAATATTTACAATATGAAAAATAGAACTTTTAATCATAAAATTTAAAAATAACAATAATTTAAATGATCGATATTATTATGTTATAGGTCTAGTTGAAATAATTCCAATGCCATTTGTAACTGAAACAACAAAATTATATCTAATATTACCAATTCATTCTGATGAACAATCTATCGCTATTCGTTTTCTTCATTATGCTAATAAAACTCTATTTGATAGAGAAACCCGTGATAAATTCGAATTACTTCTTACACATATTGTTGCAACTAAAGAAGAATATTCTCAAACACAAAAATGGTTTGAAAAAATTCGTTATGAAGTTGATTTACTACGTCAAATACATAAACAACTAATAATAACATATCATACATTACTTCTTCCATCATCATCAATTCCACTTTATTCTCGACCAATATATTTACTTGATTTTTTTCAAACAAAACTTCGTCCAAATTCTTTAATATTTCTTACAAATCCATATGTTGATATTGATCCAGATTTTTTAAATCGATGTCGTTTAAATGTTATTGAAAATATACAAATATTTTTTCCAATTGCTTTCTATCAATATCATCCACATATTATAGCACGTACACATAGTATAACAGATAATTCAACCATTGATTTACATAAAACTGTTGGATGGTTCAATTCATATGCATATGATCATATTGGACTTTATATGAATGATTATTTAAATGTAAAAAAACTTATTTTATATCATAATATATCAATATCAACAAAGAATCTTTATGATTTATTTGTGCAATTAGGTGATATAAGTATATTACGTGCTCCTGATCAATCATTACGTGCTCATTATCGATCAATTAAATGTGATAGAAATATGCAATTAAATTCAATTGAATATGATCGATGTTTAATGCAACGAGAAAAAGGTTTAGCATCACGTAGTCAATTGGCTATGATTCTTATTGAAAATGAACAAAACAAAACGGACAACATTACAAAAAAATAACAAATGTTATTGTGTATTTTGAATTTAGATATAAATTCTTTCTAAAAGAGAAAACAAAGTTTAATTACGAAAAGTGTGGAGTGTTGATGTCAAGAGTCAAGAGTGAATCTTTGATACAGGATCTATTAGGGTACTGAGTGCACTAACATTCGAATTTAATGCAATATTGAGATGCTAACTCTATTAAAATAAGTCCTTTTCATGGCGATGTGTTTCAATGAGTTTGATGGATGACACAAAAAGAGAAAACATAGAATAGGAAAATGTTGGCGAAGAAAATGCAAACGAGGAAAATAGAGAAGCTGAATACGTTGAATAGGAAAAACACCCTGTATATAATCTTGGTTGAAAAAGTTTTATTAGGTTTACCTGATCCTCGTTAGACATTATCTGTTGTGTTTCTCGAACGACAGTTTCTCTGTACCTATGTACATAGTGTATGAGTTAGCTAATTATAGAAATTTTCTTAAGAATCAAATTATCGCTGTGATAAAATTCGTTAAAACACCATTTGAAGGATTCGATTGCTAAGAACAAATCTTGAAGGTTAGAGCGATTTGGAGAAAACGAACGTTTTTAGACTCAACAGCGTCTTCATAAAAACGAAAATACTTTTGAATAGTGTCACATGTTATCATACACTACACCGATATTGCTGTAAGCTAAACCAAGATAGAGATAATTTAGAGCAAGCGTTTTTCTGTAGATTCCGATTACTTTTCCAAAAACTGAGAGAACTTCCGAATAAATTCCCAATCTCCTCTAAAGTATATCTTTATTGTTGTAATGAAGAATCAAACGAGGATGGTTGACAGACAATATATTTCCATTTATTCCAAGTAACTTTTCATAAAATGAAAGTGCTCTTGGATAGCCTCTCATATTTTTGTAGGTCATATCAAGGTTATGGTACAAGTCGACGAAACCATGTAAAGGAATTGTTGTTTTTTCAATTTCACACGCTTGTTTATAATGCAAGGGTGATTGTAGATTTTTTCTCATCTTATCATAAATCAAGTCGATATTATTGTAAAGACATTAATTTATAAAACCCAGTCACTTTTGAGGGTATGGCTGTAGGTAGGTGTGGAAAAAAAGACAAAACGTTATCACACTCAGCTAAGATCACATCATTAAAAAACAATTCAAGATAACAATTTCCCATGTGACATATCATATTCTTCAATTATATTAAAGCGGATGTTGTGACCAATTTGTTCGCAATTTGCAAAATATACTAACAAAACAATAAACATTGGACTACAAAATAATAGTGGATGTAGTTTCACTACGCAGGTTAGAGACGTATCGTCATAGTTGTTTCCATTTTGAACGATTGATCTGATATAAAATGGAAAAAGAAAGATTAATACCTATTGATTATAGTTCATGACTGATTATTATCCAAACAAAATCTTCAATGATTTTCTCAAAACATGGAGCATGCTTGCTTATAATGGACTGAATTCATCTTGTTGAGAACATATTGTAGAACGGAGTATTTATCTCTGTTGTCAAGATGATAGAATATCAGTGTGTTTCTTTTTTTCTTTTTGATTGTGCCGTGGATTATCAAATAAGTAAAAAATATATGATCCTAATGACCTTTTCTATTCAATACACATGCTCAATATTTTATTCAGCGTAAAGACGGAAGAAACATCGCTGCTACGATGATTAAGTTTATCCTTCTTGAAGTTGGTCGTTATTATATTTTATAGTCCAACAAGTGTTTGTTTCCTCTCCTAGAATGGTAAAAATTTTTTCTCTGGACTAGAATATCTAGATACAACTTTGAAACTGCTACTTGCTTCTTATGTTGATGATATATGAGACAATTGAAACAGTAAATGTTTATATCAACATGATAACTGATGACAATCGAACTTCGAGAAGATTGATATAAAATGAAAGAAAGAAAGATATATCTAATTTTAGTGTATGATCATCATGAAGATTATTGCTTGCTTATTATTATTTATTCTTCTAGTTAAATATATTGAATCGATAAATCCGAATCGTACGTATGTATTAGTATCAAATGGAAGAATCAATCAAAATGGATTTTATGGATTTGACATATTTGATTCAAAAGAAAAAACATCTTTATATCGATTAAGAGTTTCGTCGAGTGATATTGATATTGCTATACTTGTTGATTATCCTGCAAAAAATATAATGGCTAATCTTGAAGGTATATGGATAGAGTGGAAAGTTAATGTTACATTTTCTGTTTATGATTGCAAGTTAAATAAATGGACAGATGGAATTATAACAAAATACACTTGTTTTTTATCTTATTATTACACAGTGGAATATAATAATAAGCAATTTATTGCAAAATGGAAAAGTCTTTCGAGTACAGTAAGACTTTATTCTAAAAACCAAGATGAATTATTAGCTGAATGGCGACCTCGTACTCTACCGCTCTTATCGAATCGTGTTAAATATGATTTGAAAATCTATTCGGATAAACTACCTGATGCTATTTATTTTTTCTTACTATTAGTGATGAATCAGCGAGACCTCGGAGACGATTAATAATTACATTGATCTTAATTATTTGCATGGTTTCTTATAATAATACATAGCTAAACAGTTATTTATATCATCTCTTTTCTGAAAGCTAATTAACATTTTCTTTTATTAATAGAACTTTTACGGTTTTTTCCGCTTTCATATATTACGTTTGTGTGAAACTTCTTAAATGCTTTTAAAAAAGTCATTCTTTGCTAGAGATACAAAGTCGAATCTGAATAAAAATCTTTTCATTTATTAATTTAGATATGTGAACTTTTTTAAAGCTTATAACAGGTGGCAAAGAATAAATCATCTCTTTATTATTTTTGAAACCTTTCGTGTATTTTCTTTTGCAGTGAAAAACTTTTTTTTCTTATCAAAAGATAGTACTTGAAACTCCGCACACAATGTCGAGGTTAACAAAGATGAGTATACATGTGAGTATGGAATAGGCGAGGGTGAAGTTTTGGTATCTTGGTGAACGGTTGCACGTTGAATTCTACAAATCACTGACACATATATCCCCACATCCATATCCATCAATTGTTTTGCACTTTAAAAGTTTAATTAAGGTTATATTTAACCGAACTGACTGTATAGATAATGTAATATCGAAATCTGTTGCTCTGATTTGAAAATACCTTAGTGAATATTTATAGAATTATTGACATTTTCTTTCGTCATTAGCAAACAAAGAAGCCAGAGTTTCAATGAAATCTTCAGCCAAAGAAAGAGTAATGAATATTTTATTATTATAATTAGAGATTTTTAATACATTCTTGACAAGAACATGAATTAATTTTCGCATAAGGTATTTCTTTAATAAAAGTAATTGTTGAATTATTTTCTATTCGTTGACATTCTACTGGAATTTGTTCCATTGTTATTTTCGATGGTGAACAACAACGACATGTCATACCTGATATACATGTACCTAAACATTGTTGTCGAGCTATTGGATTTATTGAAACACAATCACTATAGGTGATTTGTTCTGATGGTAGTTCTTGTACTGAACATGGTTCCGTTTCTAAAATTAAAAAAAAACATAAATTTGATTATCTTTGCGTAAAGAAAACAGAAATTCGTTGTCCAATATACTATTTGTTCGATTGCATGAACCGCAACATTCACCATCAGCTTGTGGTATATATTCATATATACTAAATGGATCGTTTGTTAGATTTGAACAAACATCAGGTGTTATAGCACATTGAACATGACATATTTCTTCACCAGTAGTTACATTACAAGAACATTGTTCACAACCTTTTCTATATGATGTTTCATTCGTTGAACATGGTTGATCTTCATGTTCAATTTCAGGTTGTAAACCCACACATGCACGGGAACGATATCGTGTTTGCGTCCCATTACATTTTGCTGAGCAAACACCGAATGGAGTCCATTCACTCCATTGGCATGTTGAACAATCTTTTGAAGACGGATGACACTCGAGACAACCATTAGAACATAAACTAATGCAAGAAACAAAAACAACGAGTAGCTTAACTTTCTTCGTTTTTCTTTTCAAAGTTATAGATCATACCAATCTTCACATTTATTTTCATCGAACATCGTTTGACCAGAAACAAGATTAGTTTTACCGTCCGATGTTTGACATAAACATTCATTTAGTTGAACACATTGTCCAAAGGCATTCATAACTAATGGATCAGGACATACACAACCAGATACACACATAGATGGTTCATTACATGAACGACATGTTAATGTATTACATGTATGACCACAAGCATTACTACAATTACTCATTATTTGTCCATTTGAACATGTATATTGTTGAGCTGAAATTTCTATCAATTAATCATTCTTCGTTTTTTCTTGATTTTTTTACTTACGGCAACTTTCTGTATTACAAGGTTCAATTTGTTTATCAGAACCATCACATGTTATCTGTTGTTGACAATGACTTGTATCCTTTATACATGTTCGATAACGTATTCGTTCACCACCATTACAAGCTTGACTACAATTTTCCCATGGACTCCATTCTGACCACGTAGGTTTTTTATCTGTTTTAATTGACATATTATTTTGAAAAATTGTGCAAAAAAAATAGTTTTCTACTAACTTGATTGACAACACTGAGGATTACAATCACGTTTCTCTTCTAAATTATCCGTACAATTTGGTTGAAGAGATAAATAATGTCTCGAACGGGTTTGAATTCCAAGATCACATGTTTTTGAACATGGACTCCATTTTGACCATGACGAAAGAATACATGAACCAAAACAAGGTGATGTTTGACATGAACGATATTCTTTTTGTGGTTCACATAGACGTGAACCAGTAAGAATATGTACAGGTAGACGTTGTCGATATTGAACACCTTTTTGATGTTCATTACCACAATCACCTTGGCATGAACTCCAAGGAGACCAATCAAGATAAACGCATTTGTCTAAGATCAAGAAAAAAGGAACTCAGCAGTATTCACATTCCAGATATTGGCTATTCAAGTTTACATCCATAACTTTAAAATGAACGTAGAACTCAAGGAAATCAGAAGATATAGATATTTGGACAAGACATGTATTTTTTTTGTTAGCATGATTGTTGTACTCCGGAGAGGAGATTCAGATGAAGTTTAGCACGAAGATCACGGATAATGCCAGGTCACATATTGAGGTTACGATTCGCAAACATAGGAAGAGTGAGTAAGAAGCGGAAGTTTGTATATAACTTCAGTACTTTGCTTATTGTTTTTGATTATTCGTAGTTCTAACTAACAGCTGTAAGAAAGAAAATGTCACGAGAGCAACTATCATGAATTCGTATTTTTTTAAATTTCTTGCATTTCTAATATAGGTATGATAGGTATATTTCGAAAATTTTTAAACAAAAGAAAACATGAATTCTTACGTTTACAATCAGTCGAATTCTTCATATCAAGTCCAACACTAGAACAAATAAATTGTAAACAATGATGTGTATAAACTATCGTGCCAGTATCTAAAATATCTCCAATATGTACGGCTTTTTTACCATCTTTTAAATAACCAACAATATCTTAAGAATAATAAAGCAAAAATAAATATTATACATATAAAAATAACTTTAAAATATATTTACTATTCGCTGGTACTTTCTTCCCAGTAGCAGCCATATAAAAATCTTTTGTTAATATACACATACATGGTTGTAATTGACACATGCGATAGTCCATTAAAGTATCATTACATCCTGTACCTGAAAGTCGATTTCGTGCACGTATTTGTACTCCATTACCACAACTAACTGAACAATGTCCCCAACGTGTCCATTCAGTATAACGACATATTGTTTTAATTGTTGCTATGAAAAAATAAAATAAAATCAAGTCTTAAATATAATTTTTCATAAATATTTACTAGTTTTTGGTTTTTTTGTTGTTTCTGTTGTAATAGGTCCCATAGTTTGTATAGTTGTATATTTAACTGAACTCTTGTAAAAGCATCCATTTGTAAAAACTTTTACATTTCGTGGTGGTCGACCATCAATCGTATCTAATAGATTAATTCGAATACCTGAAGAATGTACAGGTGGAAATCCTGTTAAACGAGGATTTGTATTCTTTCTATCTGTTCTATTATAATGTGGTGATGTTAAAGTATACAAGATACCATTTGGTATTTCAACAAGTTGTACACGTATTCGATAGACATTACTTGATTCAATACCAACTTCATATAAACGACCGATAATTCCCGATGGAAAATCAATTTCAATAATTATAGGTTTGCGTATCTCAGAATACGAAATACCGATACTATGAGTCATTAAATTTTGAAAATTACCATCAATTGGTAAAGGTGTTCCAGTGATAAATGGAGTTAAAGATTTTCGTGGATGATAACCATTGCGTCCAGCCAATATATTCGAATGAATACATGAGACTATTTGAATGAAAAAATTAAAATGCATAAAAGAGTTTCGCTTATACCTCGTCGAGTCGGTCCCGGATCTGATGAACTCTACTCTGAGAAATGTGTAAGGTATACTAGTCTCCGAATACAAAAAAGTCGAAAAAAACTATCTCGTATCTTTACAATGACTATCCGAATCCGACTAGAAAATTTTATTGAGAGTAGCAAAGTATGATTCGATTGGATCTGCATTTGAACATTTTTTCAAGCTAATCGGTTCTAATATTAATAGATTGATATCATATTTTACCTTTCCACCAAGTAAATTTTGGAATTTTTTTAATTTTCTTAACTTTTTTTATTCTATCAAAACAACCAATAATTGACCAACGAATATTTTTATTTGGTTTTCCTTTTATTATGGTTACTTTTAAATATTTCACATGTATTGGATAATTTGGTGCATAAAGTGCTGTGTTTAATGTTTGTTTAAATATGGACATATCAATACGTTTTAATAATTGTCGATTTTTACTTTGTAATTCAATACGAATTTGTTGAATATGATGATTATCTGTAAGAATAGATATATTTTGAATATGACGAATAAAAATATTTTTATTAAATTCAAGAATAAAATATAATGGTTGATTATTATTTTGTGTTGAATTAAATATTTCTGGTATATTTAATGTACCACCAACACGATTAAATAAACGTTTTGCATGATGTTTATCCATTATATCTATTAAATGACAATAATCAGGTGGTTTTATTGTTTTCATAGTTGTAAATTTAGTAGTTGGAAAATTTGGAATTTTAAAGAAACATCCACGAATTGATAAATGAACATTATTAATATTTTTATTATTAATTGTTTCAAGAAATACAATTCGTATTGTAGCAACATAATCAATAGATAATATTTCATTTTTATTTGTATTTAATAAACGTTCATCGATTATATTATCATTAATATCAAAAAATGTTACTCGATAATTTTTAATATTATGTTCCTCACCAATAATTGATATATTATCGATATTACTAATAATACCTTGTTTAAATGCAATATCAATTGAAGCATAAGTTGAATTATATGATAAACCATTTGGTGAAAATATATCCAAATTTTCTTTGCCATTTACTGCTCGAATAAGTTTTTTTCGATTTTCAATAGACATTGCATCAAGAATGGTACATTTACCTATTGAAAGAAAAATTAATATATTCATTGTATAACTAGAAGAAAGAAGAACACCTATGCCTTTCGGCAAGTAATGCTGCCTATTCACAGATTCATTAGTTCGATATTTTTCCTATCATTGATACTTGTTGTCACTCTAGACAAAAGGCCGAATATTTAACGAAACTACTGAATTTTTAATATGCTTAATTTCTTGAGACCCCACATTTCCAAAAGAGCCACATCTTCATATTTTGAACTGAAACTTTGCGCTTATATGGAAACTATATAGAATAGCTTTTATAGAAAAATTCAAAAGTTTTCAACAAAATCTGTTCGAGATATGATGCTTTCAAAAAATACCTGTTATATGCAATATCCACGAAAAAGTGTCTATATCTCGAAGAGACTTTGTTATCAACTTGTGAATGTTTTTAGGAAAGCTAATCTGGATGAGTTCTTTATACACACAAAAGTTCAGATCAAAATTCGAAAGTACGATTTTTCCAAAAACCTAGACCCTCTAAAAAATAGACGTATTGAAAATTTTATAGTCTAGCCAAATCTCAATAAAAATCAAAATAGATTCAAGATGTTTATTAGAAGACTCTATATAGCAGCATCTATAGGTAAATAATTATTGCTGTTAGCAATTTGTCCAAGATCATTCCAAAGTTTGTGGTATCGAGATTTGAACACAGTATCTATTAGACGCGTGCAGAAAAAAAACTAGTCACCAAGTCGTGACAGTCATTTATTACTGACCAAGATAAGGGATAGTTGATTCCAAATTTCCTATCAGACACTATTCGTAAAATATTCTCTCAAATACCCTACTTATAACTATTCCAGTATAAGAATATGCATATCTATATTGCACATTTGTTCGCATTACTGATGATATACCAGCAATAGTAGATCAAAGAACGACTATCAGCATGCCGTGATAAAATAGTAATTAGAGGATAACTGATCATTTAACTGGCTCACTGTTAGTATATCAATAGTTTTTGTTCGATTTGATTCTAATGGGGGAGTTCAATTTTTTTAAGTCAGGAATGCCTTACGTTAAGGTTCATCCTATTTGGAAGTGCCTTTCTCTATACAAGAATAAACCTATAAAATTTTGAAAAATATTTAATTTGGAAATGTGTTCAAGTCCGAAAACTCTATTCTGTCATATATTTATTACGTTTTATTCTGTGTGTTGTTCGAGATGGTTTTGTTGTAGTTGATGTTACTGCTGGTGTTGTTTGAGTTGGTTTTTTTGTGGTTGATGTAATTGTTGGTGTTGTTCGCCGACGTTTTGGAAGAATACCAAAACAACCTTTAATTGATAGACGAATATTTTTTGGTGATTGATTATCAGTTGTTTCAATGTATGTGATTTGTATTGCAGCAATACCAACTTCTGTTAAACCGTCAACAGTTAAATTCTTATCGGATTCGATTGTTTGTACTATGGATTTGTAATCATCAATAAGATCAACTTGAAATCTTTTAACATTTGTTGTTGAACTTATTAAAGAAACTGTTTGAATTTCAGCATAAATAGTCGGTTTTAAAATGATGAGAAAAGTTATGGGTAATTGCTGTGTGTCATATGATATTAAGGATGTTTCATTGAAATAATCACTTAATTTATTAGTTGTTTTGCTAGGTAATGTACCAGTAATTGAATCGACCAGAATAGTAGAATCAACTTTATTCATCATATCAATTTCATGGCAGTGACCTAATAAGAGAATGAAGGTTTTCTCTTAAGTAAAAAGAATCAATTTATACTTACTCGTTGTTAATATTGGTGGCTGTTGTGTCATCGTTACTGGAGTGGTTACCGTTGTTGTTGTCGGAGACAGATTTATTCCAAAACATCCATCAATATTCAAAATAATATTTCGTGGTGGTTGTCCATCTGTTGTTGTAAGATATGTTATTTGTAAAGCAGTAATCGGAACATAAAAGTTAACATCTGATTTTGTATCCTGTGTATTCATGATAATTGTTTGCAAAATTGTTCGATCATTATCAATTAAATCAATTTTATATTCACGAACATTTGTTTCATTATTTGTAATTAATATTGATTTTAATTCAACATAAATATTTGCTTTAAATACGATGACAAATGTTGGATTTGATGTTATATAAGAAATTGATTTTGATGAATTAAAATAATCAAATATTGCTGACGAATTTGGATTAGTACCAGCAACATGTGCAATAACTTTAGTTGCTACAGGTTTATTTGACATTAAGTTTAGATGATGACATGCAGCTGTAATGATACACAGAATTTAACAAAAACAAAATATTGTATAGTTTTTTTAAATGTATTACTTGGTGTTGTTGTTGATATGACCGGTCGTATTGTTGTTGTTGTTGCTGTTGTTGAGCGAGGTTGAATAGCAAAGCAACCTCTAATTGAAAGACGAACATTTTTTGCTGATTTTTCATCATATGTTTCTTCAATGGTAATTTTAACTGAACCAATATTTTGCATGGGTTCCATTATTTTTTGTTCATTGGAATAATCAACAAATATTGTTCGTATAAGTAATTGATTTTTATCAAGATATTCAATTTTAATTCGTTTTACATTACTATTAGATGTTGATGCAAGTCCGACATATTTTAAATAGACAAATAGATTTGATTTGAAAATGACAAATAAAATAGTTTTATTTTCATTTTCATCGAATGATATAGATTTTCCATAGATAAGATCCAAAAGTGAAGAATTCGTACCTTTCGGATTCGTACCACTAAGACCAGCAAGAGTTTGTTTACTGTAGGGTTCTTGCATTGCATCAACATCAGCACAATGATCTAATAGGAAAAAAACAACAATAAAAATAGTAAATTGAACAACTGTGTATGAGTGTCTGTTCATAAAATAGTTTTCAAGTTGAACCCATCAGAATAGAACGAGCAAACCACCACGACTCATGTCAATCACCGTTACTATGTACAGTACAATGATTTTGTTTTACAAGCCTTCATTCTTGAGGTATCGAAGTTCTATTGAGCTTTCCAACGACAAGCTGTGGGTCCTTTAATTCATGTGAAAAATCGACTTTCGACTTCAAACTTTGAAAAAGCGAAAATCTCACTAAGATTTGTTTATTGGATCAGTTAGAACGTTTCTAGTATCTTCTATCCTAAAGTTTTCAGTATTCAGACTTTTCTTATGTACAAAGGCAAATTTTGATAATCTTGAGAAAGGAAATACTAGAATAGCCAAAAGCTACACAATTAGTTCATTTCATCGAAAACTTTCTTCGTGCTAAGTTTGAAGTCGGAAAGTCGATTTTTTTTCGTGATCATAGTTTTTGGTTGAAATATTCAGTAAAATTTCGATATTTTAAGAGTAAACGTCCGACACATCAAAATATTTCAGACTTTTCTATTACTTACTAATACTTATCTAATAATCATCCTCTCAACCAGGAAATGATTTAACGTCTGAAGGGATTTTCTAATAAGCTAAATTAGACTCTTTATGGTGAAAATAAGAAAGTAACACACAATCAATTTCAAACAAGGTACGATCAGATTTATGGTTTTTAAATGTGCTAGTTCAATTACTTCCGTTCAAGTTTTATTTTCAAGCCTGCCAAAGATTCTTTCATAATGTCTAACCTATGAGTCTCACAAAAATTCATTTCATATATTCGAAAAGAATGCAAAATTTTCTACTAGCTTCCGTAATCGGTCGATAAATGAAGCAACATGTGTTCCAGAAATATTTGCATTGCTCGTTCTGAACTCTAGTGACAATAGCTCCATCACCTAGCTTACTAACAATGACAATATATGTTTTTTTTTCGTCAAATCAATAACATATACCTGGTGTAATAGGCGTTGTTTTTGTTAATGTTTTTCTCGTTGTTAACGATGGTATAGTTGTTGCAGGTGTTGTAATTAAGATTTCTTCAACACATGCTTGAACGGATAGAATAATATTTTTCGGTGGTTGATTATCATTTGTTTCAAGAAATGTTAGTCGAATACCAGCTAATACGACTGATGGTAATGATTCTAAATTAACTGTCATTGATGATGATTCAATTTTATATTGAACATCATTTTCATTATTAAGTAATTCAATACGAAATCGTTTTAGATTCGTTGTTGTCGAAATAATTGATATAGAATTGAGATAAACAAGAATATTTGAACGAAATACTATATCGATTGATGGTGTGAAATTAGAAAATGTTACACCATTCTGTTTTATTTGACCAATTTGACCAAGATTTCCATCAATTAATTGAGATTGTGATGTTATACCAATGATAATCTTTTTATTAGTCATCAGTTCTATTCTATTACATTCACCTGAAAATAGAAATCATAAATGAGTAAAAGAATGAAAAACTAAATTATATACGTGGTTGTTTTGTTGTTAATTGTGTAGTTGTCGGTGCAATTGTTGTTGTTGTTGTAGTTGTAGTTGTTGGCATTCTTGGAACTGTTGAAAAACAACCGATAATCGATAGAATCATTCCACGGACTGGACGATCATCAATTGTATCCAAAACTGTTATTTGTACCGTTGAAACTAATGGACGATTATCAGTTGGTAATGATAACATTTGCAAACTAACAAATAGAAAAAACACTTTGCACTTATATTAGTTCTTATGTATCTTTTCGTCTAGAATCAAGTGTATTACTTATTAAAAGATAGTTTACGATCTCTTCTACAAAAACTCGTTTACAAAGAATTTTTAATAGAATATATTAACTTTACGAAATATGAAAGTTTGCATTATAACGAGATGTTATTGCTATATAGTCTTTGATCATCTATGAGCAATATCCATCATGACCCATGATGAAGAAGAGCCGTTGCTAGATTATCTGTTACGGTCTGTGAGAAGCGGTGTACGAATTTCTACTCTGTACACTTCAACAGTTCTTTTAGAACTTGCCTGACAAAATGTGATACATTTCTCTATAAAACTATATTAAAAAATTTTTGTTCAAGTTCGATATCTGAAAACACTTTATTAAACTTGAAATTCAGTGTTTTTTAGTATGGGGATAGGTAAGAAATAAAAACTGAATACGCAACATTTATCTTACCCATTATTTTCTAGATAAGTTGTTTGTTTAGAAAAGAGTAAATTATTATTGAAATCAAATAGATCAACTTGAAATTGTTTTATATTATTTTTATGACCAATAAGAGAAATTCCATCTAATTGACCAACAACATTTGATTGAAATCGAATGATAATAACAGGGGATTTTGTTCCATAATCAACGCCTGTTTTTGATTGTTTAATAAAATCAACAAATGATAAACCAGGTAATGGTTGAGTTCCTTCAAATTGTCCAATTATTTTATGGGCATATTCAGGTTCAAGAGCATTAACACGATAGCATGTACCTTTAACAAAGAAAATAGTTTTTTTTAATAATAGAACTATAAACATCGTATGTTCTCAGAATTGATTTGATTTAAAAACATCGAAAATAAAGCAGCAACGTGAAAGATAACAAAGAATAGATTGTTGTAATGAACCATATTGATAAGCTGAGAAGGCATAAAAATGTTTAAGAAGACCACCTCGTTTACCGACTCAAAATTATTAGACACTTTATGTTATGTTTGGTTTTTTCTGGTCTATATACGAATCGAAATGATCTACTAAACATATTTGAAAAACTTATACACCATTAAAAAAATGGAAAAATGGGAAGAAATGGAACCTTTTCACTGAAAAACATCAAAGTTTATATATTATTTTGCTGTTTTTGAACAATCAGTTTTTTTCAACAAAAACAAAAATGGAGCATCGTTATCCACTACCTCAATTCTTTATCAGAGTACATTTAATCGAACTGAAACATTTCCCCACTTATACTAAGAAAGTGCCTGGAACATCCTACAACTTTTGTTATGGTTCGTTTTTAACATTTCTTTTAAGCTTTCTACTGCAATGACTCATAGAGACCAACTGTTATTTGTAATAGTGAGAGATCATTCTAATTTTATAATAATCAATACATCATTCGACCGCTACAAATGTTTATTATCGAAAAGATGTTATAGAATAACCTTCTTTTATGTTTTCATTGAACTTAAACGATGATTAAGGAGAAATTATCAGGTAATGGATAATGTTGAAACTAATTCATTATATACCATGACGTACTATCTTCTATTATAATGCAATCCTACTTATCTTCAATAGTAGTCTTACAGAGTTTATATGCTTTATTTCTCAACGGGATGTAACAGCTCACTTTATAATTGGGTGTTGAATACGATAAAAATCGAATTTTTTAACTTTCAAGATAAATTTCATTTGATTTTAATCTGTCTTGATTGGTTTTTTAAAAAGTTCCAATCGATATAAACTTTATCATTCCATTAAAAAATATTATAATCAATCATGATCTATTTTTAAAGCTGAAAAAAAACAAATTTCAATCTGAATGGAATAGTATCTATCTCTCATGTTATCTTGTCAAGCTTTCAAATAGTTCGACTTTATTTAACTCGTGATCACTATTCAAATAAACTTTTTACAATGTTTTAAGAAATAACTGCCGTGATTGTGGAGTTCCGTCGTCTAGAAATCGTTTTTGTAAAAGAAATATACTTTTAAAAGTGATATTCTAAGTTGGACCGGCCCATCAAAAACTAGTTCGATCTCACGTCTTGTTATCAATCTATCTAACTTTTGATTATGTCTATCGAGATTTGTAATATTCTAGTTAAATTTTTACGTCAAATTGATGTTGAATTCACTAAAACACAGTCAGAAACCATCTTTTCATCTTTCCTTTGACATACTTTTTGTTGTAACTTTTGTTGTTTGTGTATGTTCCTTTGTGATCTTTTTCGTTGGATGTTTTTGATAAAAACAACCTTTAATTGATAATGTAACATTTAATGGTGCATAATCATCATTTGTTTCCAATATTGAAATACGAATAAATCTTACACGAAGCTTTTTCTTTGAATTTATTATAACTTTCATTGTTGTTGTTTTATTCCGAAATAAACGTTTATGATATCGATCAAATAATTCAACAATTATCTTTTTTACATTCGTTCGGTTTAACATATAATCAGGAATGGATATTTCATTAATACGAGATAAGATATTATTATGAATAAGTATATCAATGACAGCTTGTGATGTATTATATGTAACTCCACCGTAACCTTGTAGTAAATGACCATAAGTAGAATTTAATGGTCGAGTACCACCTAATTTTGCTATAACTCTCTTGGTATAAAGAGAATTCATTGCATCGATTTGTGTACAATTTTCTATAAAAAAAGAGTTCATTGAATCGCTTGGGTAACGAAAATTCGAGCGAAAGTTTCCTTCGATGTTTTTTGTACTAGTTACACAGAGCTCGTCCAGTTACCTCGAAAAAAATTGTTTCATTGTGGAGAAAATCAATTTTCCTCAGTAAGATAACAAAACGCTCTAAGTACGGGATGTGTATTTATTGATATTGACCATCAGAACTTCAAGTCCAAATAAAACAAACATTCTATTTAGAACCAACAGAAGCAACTGTATGGAATAGTAGATTTAGTGAATCATTCAGAACAGAAGATCATCCACAAGATATACTAAAAATCCATGAGTTTTCCAAAAACGTTTTTTTGGAGGTCCAGAGAATTTTAGGAGCTTTGACCGATGAAAACTCATGTTTTTGTAAATTCAAACCAGGTTTTTTTCTGGCATTTATTTGCTAACAATCATTATTTGAAATAGCAGAAACTGTTTTTCGAAAACCCTTGAGTTTGTAAGTACATGGTAGCAAAAACCTAACTCTTACCTAGAAGGTCACTTTTGGAATAGCGATGTTAATTTCTATAATAGAAAGACATGCCTTGCTATTTATAGGCGAGGGGAGATACTTAAACTAAGTTTTCATCATATTTTGATATCAGAGCGACCACAGCTCAAATTATTCGAAAGTACCAGTGAAAGAGCGTAAGAAGAGCAATCATACAAACATTTTATTTTAAGTATTGACTATACTATTCTATGCTGAGCCCAGTCGAGTCCGAGTCTGAAAATTTTAGATCTGACGGACGACTATCCGATACCGATTAGAAAAATTCATTGAGAATATTCAAGTAGAGTTAGACCGAATTCGGATGCGACGAGGTCTATTCGATGCAGATGTTTCTGTTGACTCCAAAGACAATATTCATGTCATTGTAAGCTGAGGTTCTCATTATCAAAATCTCTGAACATAAACTCGTGTAAATGATTTCTGGTTAGCATACCGAAAAAAGTCAACTTTCTCAACAAAAAAATTATGTTTTAAAAAACATGCATAGCTTTTGTTCCCCAATCATAAGACGAGTAATGTTAAGAAGAAATTTTTCATAAGCATTGAAGCTACTGATACTTAATGCTTCTGATGTATTTCAATCTTTGTAGGTTTTTCTGATATAACAATATGTTTGCAGGTAACTAGACAAGCTGTAACAGATGACGACTAAAAAAAGTTTTGTTCGAGTTTTGAATTTCCGGCGCCTCAAATAAAAAATGAAGACATATGTTTACTTTCTCTTGGGATTTTTGTTTGTTTAAAACAAGCTTGAAATAGAAGAGTGACATGTTTTGGTGGTTGATTGTCATCGGTGTCTACTATTTCAATTTTTAATAATCGAATTTTTTTTAAAAGACTTTTTTCAATTGGAAATTTATCAATTGTTGGTGATATTAATCGTTGTTTACTATCGGTTGATAATATTTTATATTGACCAACAGGTTGTCTTAGTTTATTGAGAAATGTTAATTGAAATCGATTGACATTACTTGGTCGAAGAATTTGAAATTTAATAAGATTTGTTATTATTATATTTTGCTTCAATGGAAGTATCATAGTAACTGCCGTTGATGAAGTATTAACCAAAAAATCAATACCTTTGTTACCAGGATTTAAATCCAAAATAGAACCATTAATAGGAGTAGAAAATTCTGGTTCCGAAAGAAAACTATCATTCATGTGAGCTGATTGAATTTCACACGTTGGCTGTGTCGGCGTTGGGGTAACATTAGTTTTTTCCACAACAATAATCGGAGTACCAACGATGGTTGTTGTAGAAGGTTCAAATGTTGTACTGGTGCCAATTGTGATAAAAATAGGAGTACCAGGAGTAACTGTCGTAGGCATGGTAGCAGTATTAGTTGAAACAGTTGATGTTAAAACTATTAAAGAAAATGAAATCAGATGTGTTCTATGGTTTTTATACGAAAATAAACTTTTACATTGATAAATAATTCTTAAGTTTAGGAACTGATCTATCTCTTTTTAACTTACGTATACAATCTGGATGTGTTTCATCTTCGCCTTTAGAACAATGTTGTATTCCATCACATACCAAAGTTTTATTTAAACATTTTCCATCTAAACATGTATATTCATCTTTAGCACAATTTGCTGTACAATTATATTCATCTGTTCCATCAATACAATCTGATATTCCATCACATACACGTTTTGAATCAATACATTGACATATATGAATACATGTAAATGATGATGTACATGTACATAATGAACAACCTAATTCATCTGATCCATCATCACAATCTTTATGTGCATCACATCGTTGTTCAATTGGTAAACAATTTAAATTATCACGACATTGAAAATAACGTCCACTTAATGTATCACATTGATTGAGTTCTACATAGAAGAAAATCAATTGAAGTTAAATCAAAAATTTAAGATAATAGTTAAAATGACTTTGACTTAGATATAAAACGGACTAGTCATTTTTGGTTCCGATCCCTGCCACCATTCTGGTGGAATTGGGATTGGCTTGCTCATATCTATTATCTATTATAAAAGATAACATACTCTACTGATCTTTAAATTACTCTTGATAAGATGATCATAGTAGACCTACGGTTTTCATCGTTCTAGACAGAAGATCCGGAAACATCGAGGTACATCGAAATTTGATCGGTCAGCAACTGATTCCTTCAACTTAGACTTTTAATAGTATTATTCGATAGGAAAAATTCTTCCCTTTCGATCTACACAAACCTGATATTCTTATGTAGTTCAGTTCGAGAGTTATAAGAATTTTTCTAGGACTCGTGATTTCAACCAACTGCCCTGTGGCCATTCGAAGACGCAGCTAAGCAGGATAATTTATCGTGCTGAGTCGAACAGTGATATTTGACTTTTGATTCAAAAGGATCTAACGCAGTCATCTCAATATTTCTGCAATGATGGTCTCGTGTAGATAGAAAGAGAAGAATTTTTTCTATCTAACAGCCCTATTAAAAGTCTAAATTGACAGGACAATAGTTCCAGAATATCATTTTCGTAAAATTCTAGCGCAAGCTCATCTGACTGGTACATGACTAACTAAACAAATTTCGATTCATGTCGATAGCTTGGGAACTTCACTCTTGAATATTGAAAACCTACGGTTTCTATAATGCTTCTATAGTAACTCGACTACTCAAAAGTCATATTCGAAAAAAAAACTTATTCTCAATCATTATTATATTAAAAATGTTTTAAATTTGTATTTTTGCAGAGAATAAGATTATAAGAGTTGAAAATTCTCTAAATAGAAAGTTTTCAAATTCAACATCTTTATGAATCTATTGAGAACACAAATTTAATAAACAATACCTTGTTTTTTAATTCTTATTTTTTATGCGGAGAAAAAACGGTCCTCTATTTATAGCAGTGTTTCTTTTTGAGTATAATAATAACAAAAAAGTTTTAATTAAAATCAAAACGTACTACAATCACCACTTTCATCTGAATCATCTTCATGACCACAATCTACTGTTCCATCACAAATCCATGATTTTGGTATACATAATTTACTTTTTGGACATTCATATTCTTTACATGGTATTACATAAGCTATAAAGAAATTCTAATAAACTGAAATAATAAAATATTTTCTAAACTTACAACAATTAACTTCATCACTTCCATCTCTACAATCAGGTAAACCATCACATCGATGTGTTATATCAATACATTGTTCATGAGAACATTGAAATGTATTCATTGTATCCATACATTTATATTGACAATAACCTTCTAATTCATCACTACCATCTAAACAATCTTTTATTTGATCACATTTCCAATTTAATGGTATACATCGTCCATCAGATTTACATGTAAATTCATTACTTGTACAATTTGTTGTTATACATATTGTACTTTCAATTTTATCACATATAAATGAACCATTTAGACATTCACATTCATGATGACATGTAGCATTTTTTTTCATTATTATTCGACTATTTTGTGGATAAATATGATTATTATATAAACATGGACAACGATCAGGTTCAATACATTGACCATTATTATCCATAACTTGATCATTTGGACAGAAACATCCATCGACACAACCTGAATCAGCTATACAACCACCATAATCATTACCTTCGAAACATGTTTGTGGGCAAAGTGGACCACATGGCATATAAACTTTGCCAGAATCACACTGCATTGGACATCGATCGGATGTGCGCCACTTAATTATTGGAGTTTTTATAATTGATTGACATTCAGCAGCAAATGCACTGAGAACAGTACAAACAGATTCACAATCACCACCGTGATCAGCACTAAATTATTGAAACAAAAACTGTCATTTTTTTTGTTTTGTATAAAACTCTTCAATAGGCTAGATTATTTATATGAGAAGAATATATAAAGAATTTCATACTCGCTATTGATACAGAAAAATTATGTGAAAATGATTCTTCATCGATTTTTGTCTTAAGAATTTGTACAAATGCTCAAATTTTGACAAAAAAAAATTGACAATACTATAGTCTTCATCTATAAAGATTTGATTGTCTGAGAAATTATTTCATCGTATTAATATTTAATCTTTAGAGTAAGATTAATCTTAAATGAAAAGTAGAAATTTTTATCTCATTTTGATTTGTTGAGTTAGTGATAGATTCAAATTTTTATTACGATTAACTTTAAAACGAAGCGAATCTAAATGAAATTCGATTTTATATAGAACGTCGTGGTTAAATATTTTTCTACATTTCTCTAAGTTTTTTATGGCATAATATGGTTAAATAAGTTTTATCAATTAATTTTTATTTCTATTACTTACTGACAAGCATCATACAGACATGCTTGATAATATTTTTCAATTAAATGTGTTTCCATTTTTTCAATACAAATTTCAAATGGATTATTGAATATACTTGATTTAATTTTGATTAAATCACATTTATGTTGTGCCCATATACGTCTTTGTGCATGAGCAAGACTATCACCACATGGATCATTATTTAATGATTGATTTTTTTCTGATGTACATTGTACTGATGTTTGCCATGATTGTGCCATATCAAATACATTTATTTGTGATGCACCATTTGAACTTTTAAAATCATCATCAAAATTATCATTATTATTTCCACATAAGCCAGACATTTCTGTATTTGATTGAATAGTAATATCAACATATGTTTGTCCATCCCATTTAACAATAAAATCATCTGTTTTAATAATTGTATATATACCTAATTGATAAATATATATTCTACCAAATTGAATTGGTTGATTTTGATAATTTGATAATTCAATATCATTGAAAAGTATTGGACGTTCACGTATAAGATCAATAGTAACTCCATTATATTCAATAATAATATTTTTTGAACATACTTCTCCATTAATACCACATTGTATATTTTGTGTTAATATACGAAATAAATTGTTTATATCTTTAACTAATATATATTGACATAGACCAGGAAATTTATAATAAAGTCCATCAAATGTTTGATAATGTGAATGACCAAATATAGTACATGTTTTAGTACATGAAAATTTTTTACATGACCATAAACCACCTTTTTTACATGTACAATTTTGACAACCATGATCATTTTGTATAATTGTTTCATTTTCAATATAAAATTGACGATTATATTGACATGGACATTCGTCAATTGAAATACATTTTTGTTGATGTGATGTTGAATCAAGAAGAATTTTTCCTGATGGACATGTACAACCAGGACCATATAAACCACAATCATAATGTGATAAATAATTAGTACATGTTCGAGGACAAAATGTTGTATTTAATGAATAAATTTGTGTAGAACTACATTGATTATGATCAAATGAAGTACATTGAAGTGAACCATTTGAACATGAACAATTTGATACAATTGGAGTTTGAACAAGAAAAGAATGTGATGGATGAATATATTGTTCAGATTGAGATTCATAGCAAGAACATTCTTGTTGAAGTCGACAGACATGCGAATGTTCATCATAAAATTGACCCACTCCACATGTACATCCTATTAAGAGAAATAAATATAATTATGTCAAATCTCATGTAACACGTTCGTTCACACTATCACTGATAAACTGTTAGTAGATTGCCTTTTACAAAACAAACTATCATTTAGTAGTTTATCCACAGATTTTGTTCGGTTAGAATTCGAGTAAAGGACAGAGGTGTGTAACAGCGCACTATTGGTTTCTAGACTTTTTATTGTCCTTGCTTGAAAAGAAACCTATTAATGTCAAGTTTTAGCTTTCATATTCAATTCTTCTATATTCTCTATCTAGTGTCGACTTTGTCTATGGTATGAGAGCAAAACAAAAGTCTTTTATACCGTAATCTAAAGATGATATCGTGAATTCTCTTTACTAAAAAGAATCACTCCGTTTGGTTGCGTCCTGCTAGAGATGTAGACTAAAAATTGATTTCATAGAAAGTTTCACACAAGAGTTAAGCAGTTTGATACTGTAGCGTATTACACATATCTCAGAATGGCAAAAGCAGCTATCACCATTTTTTCAACAAAGTTGATTGTTCGTATAAGCAGCAAACCTTAATTATTAGAATTCACATATCAATCGGTATTGCAATTGAAGTTCTAGTTTTGACTAAAAACAAGAATATAGAAAGCTACGTATGAAGCTTAAAGTGAAAACAATAAAAAGGTGAGGTGCCAATTCACGTACTTCGATACTTCTATCGTTTGTCTAGAAACAATTTATAATTATTATCATGATGAGTGCCTTTTTTAATTGTTGCTGAGTTGTAATGACTGAACAAAAAGGAAAGCACATGTTATCTAAAACATTTCTTTGTTCACTAAGAAAAGTTATCAAGATTATCAGTGCAGCTGATAATTTATCTCTATGTACAGTAAAACTTGATAAAACGTAATCACAATTTCAAAAATCTTTCTCACCCGGTAAGCATTGATTTACGCATGATGATGGCACTAGATCAATATCAGTACAAAATGATTGACATTCCGATACACATTCTGAATAATCTGCTCGACTTGTTAAACCACATTGACCATAATTTATTATTTGACATGTACTTGCTAATGTTTTATTACTCATCCAATCGATAATAATACCTTTCAAAGCACAAGCATGAGCTAATGCTGTTATAGCTGAACATTTAACTTGATCACGATGAATAGTTGATTGATCTTCACATAAATCTCGTATACAAGATGTAATAAAAAATGTTGGATCAACAATTAATGGTGAACAACTTGAGAATATTGAATGTTTTAATAAATTTGTACATTCAGTTCTTGCACTATGTTCATTCTAAATAAATAAAAATTGTATTTTAAAATCAAGTAATAAATCAAAATTCATACAGCAGGAAAATTAAAACAAGTATCAATTTGTTGATCAGGAATTGAACATGATGAAGCAAGATAAGCATTTGCAAATGTAACTAAATTTGTTTCAATAACATTATTCGGTGTTAAGAAATCCTTTGAAAAAAAAAAGATTTTTTGAAAATTATTTCGTATATATATTTATAATAGTAAAAAAAATCAACATACATCTTTTGTTACATAATTAAATGTTCCACAAAGACCACGAACTTGATTAAAAAATGATGGATGTAATTTAATATAAATACGTGATGTTAATGGATCAAAATGTATTACGACAGTTGATTGAATATCTAATGTAAAGAAGAATAAAATTTTATTAGATTTATTAATTATTTAAACTAACTTCGAACTTCAATAAATACTGTTGATGCACGTCGAATAATAACATCATCAGTTTGATATGGTAAAGTATGACGAATTTTACCATTAATAAGTATACTATCTTGACGAAATACTACTTTAGTTTCAAGTATTTGAATACTTAATTCATTTCCTTGAGTTGTATAAATAATACGTAAATAATTGGATTGATTATTAGTCTAAAATTAGAAAAATTTCTTTTTTTGAATATTTTCTACTAGAAAACTTTAACTAAATTCTGCTTCTCCTTCATATAGAATTTTCAATTTCAATTCTAAAGATGCGAACATTTCAGCACTTAAAAAGTAAGATGCTCATATAATTTGAAAAGAAAAAGAAGAGTGAATTACCTCGACAAGAACTTGATTGCATTTGCTCACAAGTGCATACTGTTTACCATCAAATGTCAATATATTCATATTTCCAAGTACAATACATGTTCTTGAACATGTTCGATTTGTACATAACCATCGGCCATGATCACATTTACTAAAAATCCTCTTCCATTATCAATAGAATAAAATAAATATTCAATTTACCAATCATTACAATCAATTGATACTTGATCTCCAGGTTGATATTGCACATTATTATATTGACATGTACATTGTTCAAGTGGAACACATTGATTTTGAAAACTATCATATACAGTTTCATTTGTACAAACACATCCAGGAGTACATTCATTATTTTGTGTATGACATTGAGTAATTATTGATGATGGATTTTGACATGTTCGACGACATGGTGAAGCACATTCAACAAAGGTCATATTTTTTGATGAACATCGTTTTGCTAAGAAAAAAAATATTCAAGAAGATACTTGAGCGATACCAGAAAAATAAATGACATACAACATCCAGTTTTAGATCGCCATTGAATTTGAATATTATATTCTCGACATTCTTCAACAAATGCTTCCATCACTTGACATCGTGCAGTTTTTAAAGATTTATTCTCTAGTATTGCTGAACATACATCATTTAAACATGTTTCGTAGAAATATTTCGGATCGATCTACATATATATATATATATATATATCGAAAGAAATGGAAATTCATTTGAATAGAAATTCTCATTTGTTTACTTTTTCAAAACATGATTGAAATATTTTCGATTGATTAGTTAATGAATTACATTCATCAATAACTTCGGAAGTTATTAAACAATTGTTTATTACTCGTGGAACATCTGGACACTTAAGAAATAGTTTTTAAAAAAAAAACAAAAGATAACGCATTTTATTAATAACAATAAATTCTTACATCTCGATATAATTTCCATTGATTTCCAAAATCTACTGACATTGTTGTAATAAGACCGGTTGTTAATAATTTAAAATCATCATCTGGATTATTATTATAATCTCCACAAAGACCTGATAAAATTTGATCATTCATAAAATTTTCATCCACTTGAACAATTATTGTTTGTTGATGTTGATTATGAATTTTTAATCGAATACCATTGGTAAAATATAAATCAAGAAGATTTTTTTCTTGTCGTTGAATTATTAAACTTGATGGAAATGCTGTCAGATTAGTTAAATTTGTACCTGTTATTTCTAATGTTTTACCAGCAATAACAATCGTTAGTTTCTAAGAAAAGAAATAATTTTATGAAGTAAGAAAAAAAAAAAAAAACAAAATAATTTAAATACTTTTTCACAAGAACCTTTTGGTGTTGTACAATTGATAAATTGAATATTAATTTGCCATGTTGTTGAACCGATTAATTTATACGTACAACTTTTAAAATAAAACATTATTTTCCAATGATAAAAAATTTATTATATTTACCTGCCAGGAAATCGATAATATGTTCCATCAAATGTTCGAATATGATCTCGACCCCATAAATGACAAGTAGCAAATGATTGTTGAGCTATGATTATCAAGAAAAAAATTCGTTAGCGCAATTGTTACAAGATTAAAATATGAAACACGATATATCTGTAGCTAATCACAGAGAGATTGTTCTATTCTATCTATTTTGAGACATATGTCTTCATCATACTTTTACTTCAATCTTCTGGAAATGCAATAAGGAAGCAAGTTATAGATTATACCGAGACGTTATTGGAATAGAGTCTTTGATCGTATATGATCTAGGCCTATTATGGTCTATGACAGACGAGGATCATTCCTAAAGTATTTTTCATGATCTTGAAAGTTCATAGTTATGTCTGTCATGTCCTGTAGAGGATAAGCAACTTTGTACCCTATATATATATATATGTCGTATCGAAGTTAGCATGTTTATCGAAGTTATAACTTCGATAGACAATTTTATCGAAGTTGTAACTTCGATAAACATATTTCATCGAAGTTATAACTTCTATAAATTATTTCATCGAAGTTACAACTTCTATAAAGTAAGGTTATCGAAGTTATTTAGATGAAGTTAAATATGAAAATCGTTTATTATTCTAAATAATATTACTAAATTTTTTAACTATAGCTAATTTTCTTATTCAGCAACAAACATTTATTTGATAAAAAAAAATCAACAATCACAAACTATCAATAAATATTGAGATAAGCATACAGGAAAAAAAATTAACTTGAGAGGAGAAAATTATTTATTGGTTATAGAATTTACTTTTATATCTGATCTACATGTGATTAATATTTTATTTAAACCAATTATATTCTTTACAGTGACTATCAGTCTATACTTCTCATCCTAATAATAGCACATCAACGTTTGAGATCACCTTTTCTACAATTTACATCTTTTTTTTTTCTGAACGGAAGGTAAAATAAAATGAAGAGATACAAAAGAACATTTTGTCTCAATATTTATTGATAATTCGTGATTATTGAATTTTTTTATCAAATAAATGTTTGTTGCTGAATAAGAAAATTAACTATAGTTAAAAAATTTAGTAATATTATTTAAAATAATAAACGATTTTCATATTTAACTTCATCTAAATAACTTCGATAACCTTACTTTAAAGAAGTTGTAACTTCGATGAAATAATTTATAGAAGTTATAACTTCGATGAAATATGTTTATCGAAGTTACAACTTCGATAAAATTGTCTATCGAAGTTATAACTTCGATAAAAATTTTATCGAAGTTATAACTTCGATAAACATGCTAACTTCGATAAACATGCTAACTTCGATACGACATATATATCAATAGTCGTTTTAGATCGTGTTTCAGTAAAATGAATAACAAAAAAATAAGATTAATGAAAGCTTACGAAGAGATTTATCTGGCTTATTACAAGCAAGACCTTGCCATCCTTCACAACAAATTGTTTTGTTTGTTTTTCTATAAGAAAAATAAAAAAAATTCGATTAATATTGAATTTAAATCGAATATAAACTCGGTCTATTATTTATTAAAAAGAAATTATATATTAAATAAACTTTTCATTAGTTTTTCTCACATACGGAGTGTCAGAAAAGTTCGAACGATTAAGAAAAGTGAATATCTCTTTCAAGAGTTAAAACAATAGGTTTGAAATTTGATTGGACATCTCTTGAAGTTACATTCAGCATATTTCAAACAAAATATAAAGTGTAGACAAAAAGTTCAGAAACGCAATATTTTTGAATTTTTCCTCAGTGGTAACAGCTGGAATCAACCAAAGAAAAGTTAAAACAGTATCTTATCAGAAAAAAGTACTTGTCCGATTCCCTTTACCAGATTTTAATGGAAGATCTCTAGACAGCTTACATTCTCAAAAACACTTTAAAATTCTATGGAAAACGTTTTACAAACAAGTTCATATGAAGGAGAAAATACTTCCGGACGAAATAAGATGTGCATGACCTATCTTGAGCAAACTGCACTCATGCTACGTAAGGGACCAAAATGCAAAATACAATAAATTTATGTAAATCTTCATAAAAACAGCAGAAGACAGACCGCACAGAACTGGGAAACATTAAAATATATTTTTTATCAAATGAACTTCTCTGAAAAACGTTTTTATAGAATCTACAAAACTGGCTCTGGGTAATCTGAGGTTTCTAGAGACCGTTCGTGGAAACCTGTTAGTCGTTATTAGACAAGTATTTATTCTGATAGAATATTTTTTCAACTATTCAAGTCTTTTCTCTGATTAGTTTTAGCTGTAACCGTTAAAGAAGAAAGTCAAAAAATACTTCACTTCTAAACTTTTGTTTCCACCTTATCTGTCCATCAATCTTCGGATCTTAATTTGAGTTACTCATAATTATAAAATAAAAACTGTTAATCGAATTTCACAATGAAACATTGCATGTACAGATTCTTAAAGCTATCTCTCAATGATTTTGTGAAACTGATGTCGTAATAGATAGGCTCCATTTTCGAAGCTGTAAAGCAATGTTTGATTGAAATAGTCCAGGTTTTTTGTGACACTGCACCAAAATAACGTGTTCCGACTATTGCAAAATTTCTCTAGAAAACATACCGATTTATGATAGAAATTCTTCACATATTGACAGCGAAAATAACTTGCATCTTGAAGAAAAAAATTTTCGTAACCTATAGCGCGAAAGTCTAGGTGCAAAAAATATACACTGATTTTTCAGTCACTTAACGACAATTGGTTAGAGTCAAAATTTTTCGCTATTCCTGAATATATGTTCAGATTTTCCTTTCGAGATAAGAGTGAACAACTATCAGTAAATTTTGTGAAAACGTCCAATATTGTGTCTGTGCAAAGCAAAATAGCAGTTTTGGCTCAGTCCTTAGATGATTCTGAACAAATCACTAACAATTATTTCTCTCGAATCATCTGTCCGATAGCATGCCGATAATGTTGTGTTATAAAACTGCTTTTATGGTTAGTTGTTGTGTATGCAGAGCACAAGAACTTTGCGTTAGGCTGATCTATGAAACTTAAATTTTCACATATTTTATTATATAAAAGAACAATAATTTTATAGAATGATATCTTTAGATGCCATAGTGAAAGGATAGAATATTTCTATATTACTAAATGAACGTACCATATGTTACCACTTTGACCTAAAAGACAACTCAACTCAAGTCTCACACATACCGTATATAGGGACAAGAATCGCCTTGATTAAAACGTTTTGTTAGTTCTTCAATGATATAAATATCACTTTTATCTGTCAATACCTATTTATATAAAAAATATATTTTTTTTATAAAACAACATCAATAATTTACTAACAGGAATATTTAATTTCCATGATGATAATGGTTTAGCATATTCTTCAAGAATATTGAATGATAGTGGATTAGGACATTCATCTTGTTTTGTTGTTGTATGTAAAACGGAACAAAATTGAGAATTCGAAGAAATTGGTTGAAAACTTAATTTAAGAATTGATTGAAAATGAATTTTTTAATGTTTTGTTTATTAATACTTACTTGGCAAAGATGATGATAATAATGGTAATAAAGACCATTCGACAAGTAATTAGATGCATATTGCAGTGTTAAAGAAACAGCAAATTTATATAAAATTCTTTTCGTGTCATACAATGACTTCTTCTCGACGCGTTTCTTTCTTTTAAAATGAAAGAAAACATTGCACAGCTTGTCTCATATACATGTTCGAATAGCAATATTAGTAGATCTTTTTATAAAGTATCCACTTGAAAAATACAATATGATATGCAAGATGGTGTTCGTTCGATGATTTTCTATGACGGTTTATATAATCGACAATGTCAATATGTATCATTATGTGTCTGGTGCACAAAAATATTGAAAATATGAATATGAATTGAAGTGAGGTAACGGGAAAATATTTAACAACAACAACGTATTTTTGATGTTTTCTTCTATGATGTTAAGCAATTAGTACAAAATCAAACAATGATTATCTAGATGAACTAGGATGGCGAGATTGCTAAAAAATCAGATACGGTAGTTTCCAGGTTTCAGAAAAATATTTTTTTAACAGTGCTATTTTAAAGAGTACAAAAAAGAGGAGTCGTCGTAATCGCTACGACTTTTTCTTAAAGAATTGAGAAGATCACAAAAGCCGGTAAAAAAAGGAGTTTTTGTGATATTTTTAACCTTTTACGCGAAGATCGCGAAAATGCTGCGAATTCTTATTTATTGCTCTTTAAAATAGCATTGTAGAAAAACAGTCTTCTGAGACTTGAAAACTACCGTATCCTTTTTTTAGAAGCCTTTCTATAGAAAACTCCATCGGCTATTAAAATCACTATCTTGAGTTGAACTAAGTACTTAGCCTCATAGAAAACAACCAAAGTTATGTTGTTTTTTAATATGTGTTTGCTATTATTTTATTTCCAAAACTTTCTTAATCTTTGTAATTTTAATTTTAATTAATAACGGATCGATGGTCCGAACTTTGTGTTCTTTGCTAATTTGGGCTTAAACATTTTCTTTAAACGTAGAAAATGATCTTTTAAAAGACCCATGGAAAAGTTTTCTATTAACTTTTGTACTTTCATTATTGCAATTGGAGAGTAAATGTAGATATCATGTTAATATATCAGCTTGTAGAGTAGACCTTACCCTATATAATGTTCTATTGAAGTTTTACTCAAGTCCTCATTTTTAACTAACAGATATTTTGCATACAAAGTGACTCTTGTCAAGGTACCTATAGTATAACTTAGGTAAAAAACACAGCTTAGTTCAGTATAAACTATTTTAAAGAACTGTTCATTCGACAACACTCTGTTAACACCTTCAAGAAGGAATTTGTAGAGATGAGCAAAAGTCTATTGGTTGATCATTCAATCAAATTTTTTGGACCTCTAAAAAATTACTTCACTGATCTTGAACAAAAATAGACATTGTACTTTCTAGCAGATAGAAATGAATAATCATTTGCACCAGAAATTTTCCAAGGAAACTCATGTTTTTGATTTTTCGAAGGTTTTCTCACTCATTTCGAACAAACTTGAGAAATAAAACAAAAAAATACTTTGTTTCCAGACTTTCGACCACCCGTTAAAATAAAAGACACGATACAAGCGATGAATAACAATAATAATAATAATACACTGATTTTGTTTGTTTTAACGATAACATATAACTTTATTGATTATATCACGAAATTTGATACACCAGAAAAAAAACACTCCTGATCAGTCAACTATATAGATAAAAATCGTACAGAGCCTTGTATGTTAAACCAACAAGAAAAAAACAACAGAACATTAAAAAATAAAATAGACAAAATTTTAAATTTATATTTAACATAAAATATAGGATAGGAATAGAACAGTCTGGACAAAATGTTTCGTCTGTGATATTTATTTAATTTCATGCATTTCAAAATTCTTTTGTTTCATATCAAGATAGAAGAAATAAAGGACATGACTCCGAAAAATAATCTACCTAAAAAAATAATGGAATGTCTCCACCATATTTTGACAAAGAATTGAATTAATTTTTTTATTCGTAAGGGAAAAAACGTTGCAAGTTTTTATTCATAAATCATCAGCTTATTAAAAAATTTGAAATCTAACACTATTTGCTCAAGTACTTTTATGAGTGGTAGTAAACCATAAGAGATGCAGCAGTCTAAGAATTTTTATGTAGATGTATCCAATTTTGTAGAAATTTTTCTATTTTCATTAACAATGTAACGGTTTTTAGTATTTTGAGCGCAATACCATTATTTGTTAATGAAAATCGATAATTCTTTGTACTGAAATGATTAGTAAAAGAAGCTCTAGAAAGTCATATGCATCAAAAAAGTTTCGAATACTTAATGTCTTGGCAATTGACTATCCGCACAAGCACTCTACCAAAAAAATGACTACAGCCGTACAGGTTTCTTGGTAATTTTCGGTATAAGGATATCCGAAAGGATTCTATAAAGCTAGATAGATTAGCGAAAACTTGAAAACTGAAAATAAATGATTTTGAATATAGAGAAAATTTCGGAGCACTACACTTTAAATAAATCTACCTTTCATCTTTGCCAGAAAGTGTTAATCTTTCTTTCTTAAATTGATAATAAAAGTTTTAAATCTCGTTAGTTAATTTTATGCTCAAGAATAAAACCTTGGAACTCCACTATCTACACGAAAAAAAAATAACTCATTTTTTCAAAATACGATGAATATATTCTACTCTTTTCTTGGTAAGATATTTCTAGAATACCTGATGAACCTAAATCTGATATTTCTATTACGAAAAAAAACATTATACTATAACGAGTATGAAACAAAAATTTTGCATAAATCAAGCAGATCTCTGAAAAAAAAATAAAACCGTTATCTCAAACATAAACTTTAAAAAAACGAAAAAAAACAAAATACCCTATATCGCAGTTAAAAATGCACTATAACAAGTCATTCATTCTTCAAGAAAAAAAAATAAATACAATCAGCAAAAAAGAACATATTCTTCCAAAAACTTGATCTATTTGTTAAATAAATTTGTCGAATTAGGTGATTGATGAGCATAAATTTTTGCTTTAGCATTCCAAAAATCAGCATTCTGTTTAAGTCGATTCATATTATCTAGTACCAATTGATCAGCATTACCATACGATGGTACATCTGATTTTGTATTATAACCAAGTTTTTTTAACATTGGTGCTAATATATCCAAATCTTGTTTAACATCACTTGGAATATGACCAAACCATTTTGTTAATGCTTCGAGATTAATTGGTTTAATAACTTGATCTGATGAATGTTCAGTTCTATGAAATAGCAGAAGAAAAACAAACAAACAAAACCTTTGCATTTTTTGTTCATAGTTACTTTGAAAGTGAGATTTTCTTTCCAATAAATTGTTCATGATGAAGTACATCATCAACCCAAGTTAAATTTAAAAATTTCAAGATATTTTCAATAGATTTTTTTGGTTGTAAAACAAGTTGTTCATAATAAACCATAAGACATTTATCTTCACCAACTTGTTTACATTGTTCAAACATGATTTCCATACCTTTATTCCATAATTTTAAATTTAATCGATAATCAGTTAAACTAAAACCAGTTATTGTTACTTTACGTGTCATTACTGAATGTATAACAGCACGTGCATCACGTATTATTAAAAGAAATTTGGAATTTGGAAACATCGATGAAATATATGATGCATATTTAAGAACAAATGGATCTTTATCACAAAGTATATCAGAAGATTGACTATGATGAAATAAAATATCATAAACAAATGCACGAACAGCTGAATCAAGTATTTCTTCTGTCATACCACCCGCCATAAGTCTATAAAAGAAATTTATTAAATTAGACGCAAACATCTGGAAATAACTGATTTGGATTTTGAAAGTTATGTTTTTCTGTTGGTGAAACACATCTAAAATGAGTGTTGAAGTATAGGAGTAGAAATTTAGACCCGACGAACTCTACCACTCCAGATCGTGATATAAACTGTTCATATACGATCAGAGTAGGAACTCTCGAGCAATGAAATTCATCTCCTTTTAATTTTATGCCTTTCCAGCAATAATGACATTCATATTTCTCATCCTTTTGTTTCGTTAGTCCTTTTGGGAGTGCAAGTTTTCTCCATTAAGACTTCACACCTTCGACACTTTGACTTGACAAGCAAATCCACGTATTGACTCTAATAAGATGCTTCACGATTCGTAACACCGACGTGCTCTAAACCAATCCTTTGATGGTAGCCAGACGGGTGATAGCCTCTTCAGAAAATATCACTTGATCCTAACGGCCAGCTCTATATTGCTAGGCCTATTTTGAATTATTATCTCGATGGCGTTCGATGAACAATGACTTGAGAATGAGTCGATTGTAATTCATTCCTGCTTCGTTTAAACGTTCTCACACTGTTCTCTATGTGACTAACGACCATTCAGTCTTCAGCGAGTAAAATAACTTGTGGATCCTGTTTTAGGATTGCTGCTGCACGTAATCAACGAGGTCAAGTTAAATCGCTCTAACTATCACAATGTTAGACTTGACTGCTTGGCTCACAGCATTGTAGCCAAACTTTGAACTCGAAGGATGGTTCAACAGAAAGGCAATTATATTTCACTGATGTGTATCGTGGAAGCCATATTCCAGAGCTAATGTTTATAGACGATCTGGACAGTGAGTCTAATCCGAAGATGGTTAGCGCTACTTATTTATACCAGTGGTACAGAAAATGCCAGTGTTTTTAGAAAGTTACAGGCGCATGAAGACTTTTGAGTATTATTATACCTGGTTTATCATGTGAATAATCGACATTATCAGTTTATTCTACTATCAATTCATAAAAATTTTAACTGTACTTAAAAAACTATAACCGTTATTATAAAAAAATAAAGCGTTTACATTATTGTAAAAAGTCAAAAGAATGTCTATTCTTATCTTAGTATTTCATACAAACCAAATATTGAAAATTATATTTACAAATAAATAAATATCTTACCGATTCCATTCAACATGAGATTTTTTCCAAGCTGTTCTCATACTTAAAATTCTTGGTATAACTCTTGTTTCTTCACCACAACGAACAAGTGGATGCGAATCAAGAATAGCACGCATTAATGTTGTACCACTTCGTGGCATTCCACCAATAAAAATAATTGGTTTTAATGATGATGAATTATAATTACTTTGTTGAAATTCTTTGAACTCATTTAATTTTGATGTACATGGTTGTTGTTTTTGAATAGAAATATTATCTGATGATAATAAATGAAAACCAAGTAGAATAATAGTCACAATGATAATGAAAAAAGTAAAAGAAGAACGTTGAGTCATTCGTTGATACATATTGAACATGGCTCGACGTCGAAGAGACAACCATGGCATTATTATCTGAGAAAAATATTCATATCTATGAAATCAAAACAAAAAAGTTTATTCAAAAATAATAAAGTAAATAAATAAGCTTTATGAACTAAAAAAAAATGCAAAATTTCAAAAAATAAAAATATCTATTTATTATCAAGATGAAATTTTTGGTGATGATGAATTCCATCTAAATCAAAAATATAAAAAAACTAATCACTTGATCAAGAGATGAAATATACGTGTACGACAATTCCGTTTGAAAATTAAATAACGATATTACTAGGACAAGTGGATATTGCAGTGAATAGAATTTCAATTCACAATCATAGGCAAGCAAGTATCGTTTCACTTGATTCTATTGTTAATACGGGTGTCAAATTACCGTAACTAATAGAATAATGCTAATTCTTCAGGGATTAGTATTAAAATCAACTTTGATTATATGATTTTAATTGCATTAGAATTCATTGATGCCAAACTGTTAGCATTTAATTAGCATTATTTTTAGTTCTAATATATATATATGCGACCTACGGCTATATATGTATGTTTTAGAGTTCACATTCAGCAGCTTCCGATAACAGAACAAACATTTTTTTTTTCGCCCGGAAGCGACATCCTCTAAACAGAACAACGATTACTTTAACTATGAGTGCTATTCTTGAAAGTAGAGCAAAAGTTATTCTAACTGGAAGTACTATTCTCAAAACAGAACTAAGGCTATTGTAACCGTGAGTGCCATTTACATAACAGAACAAAGGTTGTTTTAACTGCAAAGGTCATTGCCAAAAACAGAATAAAGATTTTTTTATGTCTGAATATATCAATTTCAAAAATGAATCTAAATTATTCGATTTGAAAAACCTTTGAACTTAGAATTATAGGAGACCTAATAGTCGATAACCAATTTAGTAGTATTTAAACTAATATTAATTTTCATGCTAACACCTTCAGATTGCCTAGTTCTCATTAAATAAACCTAAAGCATTAAAATAAGTTTTAATACTAAGATCTACAGCATTAGCATTAATATTAACAAATGGTGATGTTAATTCTAATATGACATCCCTAATAGATAATCTGTTTATTAATATAATGAATTGCAATGATCATTATTGTTTTTTTTTATATGACGTATTTGTATTATTCTTTTCTTCTCGTGACATTATATAAAGAACTGCAAAATGGAAATTAATTGACATGATTTATATCAGGATTCAAACAAGTCATAACAGATTTCTTTTATTATAATCTTTATTGTAAAGATCATATAATAAAACATTCATTATTCAGTTAAACAATTGTTCATTATGATGTACTCATTTTACTGACTGAATTTAATCAAATGGGGTTGTTTAGGCGAAGGAAATAATTCTATACAGTATACTCTTTATTCATATGAAATTTTGATAGCAAAAAATGTGTTCACGAATGTTGAGTCTTGAATACAAGTTCTTTTTTTACTTTGAAAATAATTGACAAGAAAAAAAGACAAAGATATTCGTAAATTTGAATTAGAAAAAAAACTCAATTCTTCAATGTAATAATGTTCCCTACTGTGTACTCTTGACAACGGAATAATGTATGTACGTAACATTAAGTTAAATTTTAACATATACAAATATTCGATCACTATTAACAGTAATGTCTTCGTTTCAACCAAGTGACGATGATTATGAAGCAATTACTCGTATTTTCGATACAAATTCATTATTTCAATGTCCATTATGTAAAAGAGATCTTCAAGATCCACGTATACTCTGTTCAAATGGACATACATTCTGTTCGAATTGTATTCAAGTATGCTTTGAAACGTATCTTAAACAATAATTCTTAGCTATTTATGTAATTTCAAACATGAGATCTACTATTACACAGTTTTTGATTTGAGAAAATTTTTTTATATGGTTTATGGTTAGGTCCTATTGATAGCTTTCCTTTTAAGCTGTATAAATTAAACAGAGAATCTGATCACAACTAAATGCCTTCTACAGATGTTTTTATTCATTTGTAATTCTAATTGTTTCTGGCAGAGTTTATCAGACAGAATAGTCTAGTCGTTCAAGTAGAAGTTTGCAGTAATTTTTGAAATAGGAAGCACGAAATAGCATATATTTGAGAAATCCTTAAAAAAAACTCTTTCTGATAATTTTGAAAAAAAATGCTCAATCCTATAGAATGAGATTAGCTAGAAGTAGTCCAATCCAATGAGATGTTGTAAAGAAAAACATTTTTCTTAACATATCACGAAAAGCATTCTTTTTACCTCATGGATTATGTTCTAGGTGTCACAAAAATTTTAGCTCGATTTTCTTTATTTTCTCTTTAAAAAAATATTTTCAATCAGAAACAAAGCAGGAAGAAGGATATCCGTAATTATGATACGGGAGAGTGTGAGAAAATATTAGTATTGGCTATGATTTCCAGAAGGTAATGGAGTCTATTAATATATCTAACGGTATGTTTAAACATGAACGTGACTAGTCGTTTTTAGTCCCAGTGATAAAAATTGATCCTAGTCCTGGTTAGAAAAAATTTTTAGGTCCGAATCCTATATTGCGCATATGCTGATGTACGAGGGCCGAAATACGATCTTTAAATTCACTAAGAAAACTTTTATATTTTTGAAATTTTTCTAAATTCTACCAGTTAATCGTTATTTCGTTCGATTTGACCTTATCTTATGAATGAATTAGTTATACTACATAGTAATAATTTTTCTCTCTCTCTCTCTTCATGTTCCTATAGAATGCTCTACCAGATGATGGTGTTCTCAAGTGTCCTATTTGTAAAGAAGCACGTCGTTTCAGTAGTGTTCAAGACATAAGACAATTAACAAAAAATTATACATTACAAACAATAAAACGAGCTGAACATCATCGTATTGCACAAATAGGTATATGTGAATTATGTAATAAAAAGCCTGCCTATGGTCGATGTTTTCATTGTCGTTCATTAGCTTGTTTTAAATGTATGAATGAACATGAAGAAAATATAGCTAATGAACAGGCCAAAGAATATAGTGAATTAGTTAAAATACGTGATAATCTTAATGAAAAAATATCTCAATGGGATAATAAGTTAACTGAATCAAAAGAAAATATTCGTAAAATGATTCAAGTCGATGCCGAAAAGCAAATAAAAGAAATTCAAGGTAATATAATAATATTCATAATAATAAAACGAAATTTAAATTTTACATATTTATTTTAAAACAAAAAAAAAGATCATGAACAAATATTATATACTCAATTAGATGATCTCTGTCAAAATTATTTACTAACAAAAAATATAAAATTACAAAAAATTAAATTTGATATTGAAAAAGAAACACATGAATTAGATGATATAGATCCAAAAAATTGGAGTATATCAGATCGTATACGTTTAAATCAATATTGGATTAATCTACAACGAAAATTTGATGATCAATCTATTGATTTTATTTATGAACCTAATTCATCATCAATCAATCGATCATATCTTGGTGAACTTCATCTTAAAACAGTAAATCAAGAAAATAAATATTCACAACGACAAAAATTCAATACATTAGATAATCAAAATAGTTTAATTCCATTTCATCATTCATCTGCAAGAAAACATAAAATTAAAACTGAACAAAATCTCAATCATCAATTATCAAAACAAAATTATGATAATGAAAATGAACATAGTTCTCATAGTATAGTTAAATTTTCACCATCAAGAAATCATTCACAATATGATGATCATCAAATTGACCAAGGTAGTGAATATGCTATAAGAAAACTTATTCGAACTCGTCAACAACAAAAATCAAATTCAAATTTAAATAGAAAATTATCAAATGAAATCGATCAACCAATTGAAGATAATACACCATTAACACCACGGATGTCTATTGCACCAATACATCTTGATAATTATAATAAAAAAGCAAGACAAATTTTAATAGGTCCAAATGAAGCTGATAAATTTCTTGCACCAAAAGCAATTGCTATTACAGATACAAATCAATTATTAATTGCTGATACAAAAAAACATCGTATAATTATTTATGATTTAAATTTAAAAACAATGCGTGCTATAAAAGGTTTTCTTTTTCCTGATGGTCTTTGTTTAGCTACGGAACATTATGTTATTATAAGCGATCGTCATCGAATTTCAAAATATGATTGGTTACATGGAAAAATTATTAGTTTTATTGGAAGTAAAAAAGAAGGTTGTACACGCTCATCATTTTCATGGCCAAAAGGAGTTGCTATTGATAATAATTATGTGTATGTTTGTGATTCATATAATTCACGTATGGTTGTCCTTATTCATCAAATGCGTTATGAAAAGGAATGGATTATTATGAGAGGTAAAGAAAAAAAAAAGATTTTTTCATCTATTTTTGTTATTTGAAACAATCTTGATTTATTTCCAAAGAAATGAATTCTTACCGACAATTTTTGAACAAAAATGAATGTCTCTTAGTGTAGAATTGAATAATTTTGAAGAACAAGGATTATTCGTATAAATATAGATCATTGTCTTATTTTTTATTCTGAGAAATGCTCGTATCTCCTTAAGGCTAAATGATTTAACTCAACTCTTATCGGATTGTATGATTTCGATTATTTTCTTTTTCTGCATCAATGATACATTTCTCGTCTAAGTATTAGAGATGCCTTTTCTCGTATATTGTTACATAATACGATTTATACGTCTTTTTCAATACAAAACAAAATAACCACAGATGAAAACTACTCATGATTTTCATAACTAGTATCGATACTAGTTTGAATTTATTATATCTACAAGATACAAGTATGAAACCCTAACTAGTGACGAGATACTATGAAGCTATCAGCACCAGTGATCACTTTCTATTACAAAAGAATATGAAGAACAACAGAAGAAAAAAACACTTTAACGATTCAATGGCAGACAAGTGCTCGATTGGCTCATTCATCATAGCAACTAATAAAAGCAGAATGCTCGATACTCTACTAATATTAGTATATTCGATTTTGAATATCAATTTAACTTAC